CCTCTGGGTGTTTTGGACTCCAACTCTTGCCTACTGGCTGTTAGGAATTGTGGGAGTTGAAGTCCAAAACACCCAGAGGGCTGAAGTTGGCCTGTGACTGAGCCAGATTCATCCATGTTCTGACAACCGCTATAGTAGCCATTTGGGCTGAGATCTTCCCTTCCGCAAATGATCATTCAGTTTGGTCCGGCGGCAGCTGCAGAGGAAGAAGGCACTCACAGCAAAGCTACTGCCAGGCAGAGCAAGAAGAAGCAAAGCCTTGTTGGAAGTTAAGCAAACAGGAGACTCTCTCGTGTCAACGCAGAGAAAGCTAGGAAGGGACTCTGTGCAGCCAGGTGGCCACAGCAGCTGTCAGAAGGACGGAAGGCTGCAGTAGCCACACAAAGGCTTCTAATCACACGGCTGCGTTTTTCAGGGCTCCGGTGCCAAGCCGTTGATGACCTAGGAAGGATATCATCCCCACGCATTGTCCTCAGTGTCAAAAAAAGCCCCACCGCCTCTCTAATATAATAGAAAGCTATGATGATTTCTGTGCCCAATCCTCTCCAATGCCAGGCAGAGGCATGGAATCAATTGACTCAAGTGGCCTCTCTCCTGGGATGCAAAGCAGGCATTGATGAGAAGTATGGATGGAGAGGAACATTTTGTGCCTGTCGGAGATGAAATGCCCGCCACTTTTTCTTGGAAAGGCTTTGAGCATCAATAGGATGACAATGGTGAGTTGAGAGAAGAGCGAACAAAAGGAAACGGTCACCCAAGTGAACCAAGGGAGCTCCAATTTATTCTGACCCTCGGAAGGGCAGCTCTGGAGAAGCTATGAAAAGACTCGAAGGTTCCTGCAGGAAGAGCAACGTTTGGAATCTCTCACCGATGCTTGCAATGAGGCAGGGATGTAAGGAGGCATAAAGCCACCTGAGGTTGTTTGAGCCTGGAAATGTTACTTTGAAATGTTAAACTCTCAGCAAATGCTAGCTGAGAGATCTTGGGAGCAATTCCCCATTTCAATGTATGATTGTGAAAGCTGGATGGTGAAAAAAAGCAGAGAGGAAGAGAACAAACTCATTTGAGAGGCTGCGATGGAGTTCTATGGATACCACATACTGTTAACAATGCAAATCAATGTGTTGTTGTTTTTTTTGTTGAGTTCCATGGTCAGAGAAGCAGATGGTGAAAACAGAAGAATGGTCTGCCTCAGGGAGTGTGCTTGCTCCATCAATGTTTTACATTTACACAAATGACCACCTACTGCCAGAAGAGACAGAGAGTTTCATCTATGTTGACGATCGTGCCATCACCACTGAAGTAGGGAGCTTTGAAATGGTTGAATAGAAGCTCTCTGAAGCTTTAGGTGCTCTTACTGCTTATTACAGGAAAAATTAGCTGATTCCTAATCCATCTGAAAGACAGACATGTGTTTTCCATCTTAAGAAGAGACAAGCATCTCGAGCTCTGAGGATTACCTGGGAAGGAATCCCACTGGAGCATTGCAGCACACCAAAAATACCTGAGAGTTACTCTGGACCGTGCTCTGACCTACAAGAAGCACTGCTTGAATATCAAGGAAAAGGTGGGTGCTAGAAATAACATCATATGAAAGCTGATTGGCACAACCTGGGGATCACAACCAGATACAGTGAAGACATCTGCCCTTGCGCTTTGCTACTCTGTCGCTGAATACGCATGCCCAGTGTGGAACACATCTCACCATGCTCAAACAGTGGATGTGGCTCTGAATGAGATATGCCGTATTATCACATGATGTCTACACCCAAAACCACTGGAAAAATCATAATGCTTAACTGGTATTGCACCACCTGACATCTGTTGGGAAGTAGCAGCCAGTTATAAAGGGTCAAGGCAGTGACATCTCTGGCCCATCCTCTGTTCGTATATCAGCTAGCATGCCAATGCCTTAAATCAAGAAATATTTTCTACGATCTACAGAGACTCTTGCAGGAGTGCCTGAGCAAGCAGGAGTCCAAAAATGGTAGGCTAAAACCCAGAACCTCAATCCATGGCTTATACCAAATGAGGGACTCCCTCCTGAGCACACAGAATCCTGGGGCAACATGGAAGGCACTGAATAGACTCTGCTCTGGCACCACGAGATGCAGAGCCAAACCTAAGAAATTGGGCCACAAAGTGGGAAGACCATGACATGCGAGTGTGGAGAAGAGTAAACCACAGGCCACCTACTACAATGCAGTCTGAGCCTTCCACATGCACAACGACGCCAGAGGCACTCCAAGTGACCAGCTTCTCATCAAAGGAAATTTACTATGATGCAAAGTTTTTAACTTTGTTTGGGGTTTTTAATACATTATAACCATATTTTCAATTTGCTTCTGACAAAATTAATAAATAACTGCCCTGGCATAATGTGAAGGGATCCTGGGAGTTGTAGTTTGATGAGGCACCTTGTCAAAGGAGGACAAAGGTTTGTGAAGCTACAGCTGCACCTTCCATCTCATTAAGATGTGGAAAATGGTATCCGTCCTGCTGTGTAGACAGATGCACCCTGAGCTGAACAGAACCGAAGATCAAATTGTTGCATGATCTGTGACCGCCTCCCTCCTTCCTCTTCTTTTTATATAAAAGAGGCACATGGAAATGTTCACAACCTGCAGCCAGGAGCTTCTCTCATGGCTTTGTTAGTTTGCCGGTGAGTGGAAAGCCTTGGCTGGCCTTCGGTGACAGCTCAGGCTGCGCGGGTCTTTCTTGACACCGTATTTTTAGACTCCGTTCTCACGACTCTACACTCGGGGGATCCTATTTATAGAGTAGAGAATGGAATCGGTGTGGTCTGACCTGCCAGCAGGGAGTGGGAGGAAGGAAGACGTGCCTTCTGCCCTAAGCTCAGGAGCGAAAGAGCACCAGGTTGCACAGAGTACTTTGAGATGCAGTCTCAAGCTGTGCAAGAGCAAGCAGCTATTGCATCTTTCATGGCCCAGTGGCATGGATGAAATCCCCAAGATTGCCTCTTCCTTGAAGCAGGGAGAGAGAGAGTCTTGATTGAGATAGCAGTACAGGCAGTCCCTGAGATACAAACATCCGACTTACACATGTTTCATAGTTAAGAACGGGGTGAGAGAACAGGAAGTGAGATAACAGGAAGTGAGAAAAATCTCCCTCTCGGAAGGAAGGGAAATCCACTCCTGGAAGAGTTATTATCAGGGGGGAAAGGGGACTGAAATTAATCTTTGTCTCCAAGCCTTGTTTCCACAACAAGCCACATTTTGCAAAATCCAATAATCCTAGGGACAGAAAATGAGGTCGAATCTTCTTAACAGAGGCACGTACAGCACAGGAAACTCAACAGGGGTGCTAACTATTCAAAGCTATCTATCGTCTAAGGGTGCACCTACACTGTAGAACAGGCATGGGCAAATTTGGGCCCTCCCTCCAGGTGTTTTGGACTTCAATTCCCACAATTCCTAACAGCCTGAGGCCCCTTCCTTTCCCCCCTCAGCCACTTAAGTGGAAAAGGAAAGAGAAAAGGAAAAGGAGGGCCCAAGTTTGCCCAGGCTTCTGTAGAATGAAATCTATGAGGCAAAAAGATGGGCAGGGCATACAGCACCAACAAAAGGCAACTGATGGACATGTTGACTAACGAATTGGATACTAAGAGATCACAGGTGGCCCTTGGGCACACCTTGTTTTCGATGGGACAAACCAATGGCTAAGCTATTCAGCCAGAAATTGAAAAGAAAAATGCAAGATCACATATTTTGGCAAGTGGTAAATTTGCATGAAGCCCAAAAGAGTGGATCGATGACAAATCAGATAGGATAGCTTAGGTTGGGATATATGTGTGTATGTGTTTGGCTGGAGTTACATGTAATAAATGTCCCTGTTCTGACTTACAAACAAGTTCAACTTAAGAACAAACCTACATACATACATGCATATATACATACACTTTATTTATATTCCTTTCTATCTCCCCGAGGGGACTCGGAGCAGATTACAGTATGCACATATATAGGCAAACACTCAATGCCTTTTATACAATAACAACAATGTAATACAATACAAACAAAGGCAAAGTTTTCCTTTACCATCTCAGGCGTCTGGAGGCAATGCTCAACTGTGGCCATGGGGAGGTGCTCTTGTTCCATTTTTCCATGCTGAGGAGCCTGTTATCCATAGCCCCTCCTGGTCGTGTTTGCTGGCATGTCAGCATGGGCACCTTTTACATTCCCGCTGAGGTGGTACCTATTGATTTACTCACACACTGCAAGTTTTTGAACTGCTAGGTTGGCATAAGCTAGGGCTAACAGCGGGAGCTCTCCCTGACCTGTGGCTTTGAACTGCTGACCTTCTAGTCAGCAAGTTTTCTGCAGATAGCAGTTTAACCCACTGTGCTACCAGGGCCTACAGAACCTCTCATGTTCATAACTTGGGGATCCACCTTTACTCTGTGCATGATAATCAGGCAAGTATTTGGGGAAATACTTGGGAAGGCTGAACGAGGGAAGATAGATGCTTTTGAGCTGTGGTGTTGGAGGAAAGTTCTGAGAGTGCCTTGGACTGCGAGAAGATCCAACCAGTCCATCCTCCAGGAAATAAAGCCCGACTGCTCATTGGAGGAAAGGATACGAGAGACAAAGTTGAAGTACTTTGGCCACATCATGAGGAGACAGCAAAGCCTAAAGAAGACAATTATGCTGGGGAAAGTGGAAGGTAAAAGAAATACATTTGCTTACCAAGAATGAGTTTCCCTGAGTTCAAAACTCTCTCTGGAAAGACACCGAATATATGCAGTGGCAAGGACCCTCTTATCAATACATGTAGTATGCCATAAAGCCTTTTTTTTGTTCATAGCTCTGCCGATGGATTGAAATCTGTGAATGTACAGTCAGCTCTCCACACTTATTGGGGCAAAAGTAGGGAAACTGAATTAAAACATATGGGAGTTTTGTTTGAAAGCAAAAGCAAGATGTATTCATTTTCAGTTTTATCACTGACTTCTTCTGGGTCTTTTTCTTTGTTTTCTGCAGCAAACTTCCCAGCTGGGCTCGAGCCGTCACCCCACGGATATTTTACATTACAGAGAAGGCTTGGAACTATTATCCCTACACCATCACAGGTAGGAAGAAGCAGCTCTTCTGAAAGTGGCCACCTAGTCTCTTTCTATCTCCTCCTCCTCCTCCTCCTCCTCCTCCTCCTCCTCCTCCTCCTCCTCCTCCTCCTTCCAGACTATCTTGGGTAACTAGCATTGCTCAGGTTATTTGAAAAAGTCATTTTTTTAATTGTAAAAAATGCATAAGGTTGTGGGTGAACTACAACTCACGTCATGGCAGGTTAACCCAGAAAAACTCTATCAGTACTTAAAGTTTGTTATGTTGGGCAAGTTTGCTCTAGATGCATCATCAGTGGGGTTCAGTGTGCTCTCTGGCTGTAGGGTAAACTGTAACTCCCACTATGGTGAGTCAGTCCCCTCAAACCCCTCAAGTAGGTTGAGTTAGTCATGGGGCTTCTGTGTGACAAGTTTGATCCAGGTCCATAATCAGTGGAGGTCACTGTTTCTCTGGTTGTGGGTGAACTACAACTCCCAGAAAGGAAGGTCAGTTCCCCCCAGACCCCTCCAGTAATCAAATTTTGGCATATCAGATATGAATGCCTAGTTTGGTCCAGATCCATCGGTGTTTGGGTTCCCAGTGCTCTCTGGATGTAGGTGAACAACAACTCCCCCAAATCAAGGTTAATTTCCCCCAAAATCCTCCAGTATTTTTTGCTGGCCATGGGGGCTCTGTGTTAAGTCCAATTCCATCTTTGGTGGAGTTTACAGTGCTCATCGATTGCAGGTGAACTATAAATCCCAGTATCTCCAACTCCAAAATGTCCAGACCAATTCCCCTCAAAACCCACCAGTATTCAAATTTGGGCATATTGGGTATGCATCATTGTTTGGGTTCATAGTGCCCTTTAGATGTGGGTGAACTATAACTTCAATAAATCCCTCCAAAGACCTCCAGTATTTTTGTTGGTCATGTGGGTTCTGTATGCCAAGTTAGTTCCAGGTCCATTGTTGGTGGAGGTCAATCAGAGTGCTTTTAGATTGCAGGTGCATTATATTTCCCAGTACCTACAACTCCTATAAATCACCTTGAATTCTCCCCAGACCTCTCTAGTATGTTCAGTTGCGGATCAATTCCTCTGATGGCTGTGTGTCATAGAAAAGAATAGGTAAGGGTTAAGGGAGAGATAGTGGGCAGGGTCATACAAATTCCACACCAATGGAGAGAGTCAGAAACACTGGGATGTCTGTGGTGGAGGAAACACATACAATCTAGGATGAAATTGTCCCTGTATGAAAGCCTCCACTTGGGTGTTGGGCAGTGTGGTGTTTGTGGAGGGCATTGGTGAGCTCTTGTACCTGTTCAGGTTGCTCACTATAGCCTGCAATGTCATTGGAGGGAAGGCCATTGGTGTCTCCTGAGTAGTGGGAGCTGTAGCTGTTTGTGGAGGCAGGAACTTGTCTGTGTAAGTGGACACCCCAGCCACACACACACATTTTCATTATTATTATGTGTGTGGTTTCTTTTCTTGCTTAGGGTTTTAAAGGCCACTTGTTGCATGCACTGTTGGGTATAGATAGCACTCAACTAAATTAGGGAAAGTACAATTCTGCAATTGGTTTCATGGACCTTGGCTTTCATTTGTTTGTCTGAAAAGTCCCACTGGATCCAATTAGTTGAGAGAGGTATTTGAAGAATCGCTTCTCCCGCAGCACTCGGTGCACCTGCTTTTAAAAAAATGACACCTTTGATTTCAAATGAATCACTCAAAGAAGAGAAGTTCAGCTTTGGAAACCGGATTGTCTCCTAATTCATTGAAATCGAGACGGGAAGAAAGGCAACTGCAGTTGTGGCCACACTGCTGACTACATTTGCAAGCCCTTTGCTTTTGGAAAAAGATTAAGATTTTGCCACTTCACCAACAGCCAATACAGTGACATCACATAGGGCCACTTCACCTAGCAACAGCCTTGGTGATCCCAGTGAACAAACATGCTTTAACTTATACACACACACACACACACACACACACACTAGTTTAAGTATCCGGCATGCCTGGGTTGTTTCAAAAAGAAAATGCATAAGGTTGTGGGTGAACTACAACTCACATGCCAGGTTAACCCCCTCAAACTCCATCAGTACAGTTGGTCATGTTCTGCATGTGTGCCAAGCTTGCTGCAGATGCATCATCAGTGGGGGTTCAGTGTGCTCTCTGGCCTTGGGGTGAACTCCAACTCCCAACCTGTTGGGTCAGTTCCCTCAAACCCCTCCGGTAGGTTCAGTTGATGGTGGGGTTTCTGTGTGCCGAGTTCTGGTCCCGGTCCATTGTTGGTGGGGGGGGGGGGGTGTCACAGTTTCTCTGGGTGTAGGTAAACTACAACTCCAAGAAATCAAGGTCAATCCCCCTCAAACCCCTCCAATGTGTTCATTTCATCATGGGGGTTCTCTGTGCCAAGTTTGGTCCAGATCCATGGCTGATGCTGCCTGCAGTAGTCTCTGGAAGTGGGTGAAAGTACTGCAAATCCCGTTGTCCGTGGTTTGCCCTCCCCCAAACCTCACCAGGACATAAAGTGGGTCTTGGGGAGTCTGTTTGGTCCAGGTCTGTCATTGGTGGGAGTCGCAGTGGTCTCTGGAAGTGAGAGTCAATAGGAAGTGTTTCGGAAACATACAGACCCCCATATCCACATACAAACATTCACTTTCATTATATAGATGCGGGGGATACATCTTAGTCCACAATGGGTTACATTTGTGGATTGTGAGTGGTGCTCCCACTGTGCATCTATTTCCAAACTTTGTGAAGCTTTCATGAAAGCTGCACATATTATGAAGCGCTATTTTCTTTGGGTACCAGGTTACTTACCTGGATACTATTTGCAAAGTTCCCAACAAAAAGGAAGTCAATAGCCAGGAAACGGCTGGTCTCCAGAATTGGTGCTTTCTGCTTGTATTGCCGGCGGGGAGCTGGAAAGATTAAGCTTTCGAGGGGAATTCAGTTCTGTCTCTCACAGTAACGACAGGAAGCCTGCTGCCTTCCCATTCTAATCATTGTCTTTCTTTGTCTCTCTCCTTTGCTGCCTGGTGGATTCCTGGAATTGCCTCGCTGCCGCCTCAGAGTACACGGTAAGTGCCGAGATGGCTTTACATGTTTGGGATGTATCGTGGAAAAGTTTCACGGCAGCATCGATGCTACACAAACATCGGGTTGCGGAGAAGGGTCTGCTGGGGAATGAGGCAGCCACATTGCTGCTGATGCTGGGGGTGGGGGGTGGGGTGGAGTCATTGGAAGGAATGGGGTGCCATCCCCAGACATGTTGCCCAAATCAAAGAACCGAATGACGTCCCCTTCCTGCCTGCCCAAGTCAAGCTCCATAAAGCATTCAATAGCATGTGTATATACGTATGGTGGCAGTGTCAAAAAGTAAAAAAAATTTGGCTCGAGATACACAAGCAAGTACAAAGAATCTTACAGATCAAATTTGAACCCAAACCGGAGTACTACCTACTCCACTTGCTGGACTTCAACATGGACAAAAACAAGGATATGTTATTTTACCACTTGACGGCAGCAGCAAGAATTTTGATTGCTAGCATGTGGAAAAAGAAAGAATTACCAACAACAGAAACATGYCTGCTTAAAATAAGAGARCTGATGYAAAATGATRTTCTGGCAAACATAGTATTRGACAAGAGTAAGAAAAATAGAATAGACTGGCGCCCGATAAGGACATTRCTAAAGGAAAGGAAAAARATATTGTTGCCAGAATAGAGAAGCGAAAGTGATAAAGAAGACAAGAATTACACAARGACAAGTTTTCGAACCCGCAATCTAGATTGGAAGTCAACTTTGTTTTTTAAATTGATTCACCTATCACTACCTATCCATTACCCTCACTTCCTTCCAAATCACCTCCGCCCCAATTCCCCTCCCTACCCCCCCCTCCCTATAGCAGGTTATACTTGATGTATAATGAAAATCTGTTAATAAAGATATTTAGAAAAAAAAATAGCATGTGTATATAGCTCAGGCATGGGACAACTTCATCCCTCCTTCCAGTTGTTTTGGACTTCAACTCCCACAAATCATTAGAATCCTAATAATCAGGTGTGATGAGGAGCATATGCACCCCGTCTCAATACAGTATGCACCCAGTCCAAAAAATAGATGGGGTGCATACTGATACAAACAGATTATATCCCAATGTGATAATGTCCTTCATCACACCTGATAGTACGATTCTTATAATTTGAAAATACTGGGCTTTGACTCATCACACTATGAAAAGCTGGTTCCTCCCAATCCTACATTACTCTATGCCCTGTTAAAAAGTATTGTTACTGATGGGATGCGTACAGAGTTTCCTATCACACACAAAAACAGTGTTTCAGCACTGGAAGACTCTGTAGCATTTCAAAAAACATGATTAGAATTCCGTCTGCAAATCATCCGTTTCTGTGATGGTTTGCAGGCAGATTCCGACAGAATACTGACGGGATGGGGCAAAAGTCACGTGATGGGACCCGTTGGAAATCATTCTCCAACAATTGTAGAAACGGAGTATTTCCTAATGTGATAAGGTCCTCATTGTGGAGTTTTGTGGGCCATGGAGACAAAGCTCTTGTCTGAATTTGAAGCTGACCAAGGTGCTGAAACCTATTATTGTCCTAAGTAGACACATTGATCTATGAGCCATGTCCATTGAACATGTTGGGACCTTATTTATGTTGTCTGTTCATTTGTATTTGGTTAAATGTATGTTGTACTGTTTTTTTAATATTTATGTATTTCTATTTTATTTGTGGCATCCTAGAGTGCTTTTGTGAGCCTCCCATAGTTCCTTCAGGCAGGGTATAAAGATTATTATTATTATTATTATTATTATTATTATTATTATTATTATTGTTTTACCAGAGTTTGAGAAAGTTTCACTTGAGTCAATTGCTTTTAAAAAGTAATTTGCTCCCTTTCTAAGCCAGAGGAAAGGAATAAACTTGGAAGCAAGAAAAGCAGTTTGGAGGCCTAACTGTGCCTGTTTGCTTCCATGCACCTTCCCGTAATTGCTTCAAATCTCTTTCTTTGCAGTGCTCCTTTCTTCCCAAGTTTTCCATCTACATTGAGACCAAGTACGAGGATAACTGCGGAGACAGCACAAATGTGAGTGTTCCTCATACATCGTTAGTTACCAGAGTTCAAAAAAGTTGTTGTTGTTGTTATTATTATGATGTTTATTTATGTACCACTTTTTCTCTCCATAAGCATTACAATACAATTTAAAATATATAAATATTAAAACAATGTTAAACGTATTAGTATTAAAAACAATTCAGTTAAATCTATAAAAACATTTTTAAAAACCACAGCGGCCCCTAAGATGATCTTAAAAACCTACTTCTTTAAAAGCCTGCCTGAATTAAAAAGTTCAGTTTTGCATCATAACTATCCAAATCCCTCCGCCTACCTACACTAAATATGGATTCTGGTGGAAAGCTTTTCTCCCCTTCATGCTTTCTGGCTCACTTCACTGCGTCAAAGGAGAATAGTTCTCCTTCATCTGGGGCTGGATCTACATTTCCATATAATGCAGATTCAATCCATCAATCAGTCATTGACTTAATCTGCTCAGCAGGGAAAGTGCACAACAGATTCATAAACTGATAAGACACTTAAATACCAGACGAATGCCATTCTAAATGCATATGAACAAGGGTAAAAACACTGGAAATATATACAAGGCAAGTTTCAACCTATATCTAATACAAGAAGTTGTCTTCTCCTGGCTGACTACCTCAGAGGGAAGCTTGGCAACAGCCACGGTCACCTGGGGGAAATTGTCACCTAATAAAAACTTTACATGGAATTGGGCTGATCTACTGGGAAGGTTTCTCAGTAGTGGGTTAATAATACGTACCTGAGCCTGTTTATAAACACTGCAGGACAATAACATGTGATATATACATTCAACATTCTGGTAATTACATTAAATTCCCGCAAATCTACCTCAAAGCACTTTGAATGGGAACACATTTCACCTTGCCTTGGAGAATAGGCAACGATATTTGGCCACAGCCAAGGTCTTAAGATAATTTGCTTCTTGAAATGACCCAGCATAATGCTCAGGATGCTTCGGGAACAAGAAACATATGAGCGAGAGCACAGTTCACAGAAGGCAATGTCCCACAGTCTTTGTTTCATAGATTTCAGTGCCATGTCATAATGCGGATAATATAATACAGATCATGCCATTCCAGATCTTCCACAATGAAGAAATCTTAGGAGACCACGAAGTAACTTTCCTGGACATTGCTTTTGATGATATCCCGGAGCGCTATTACCGAAGCAAAGAGGTAAGAAGGTTCTGCTGCTGCAGCATGTCCCTGTATCTCTGTTTATGTCTTTCGAATTCGCTGTGTTCAAAGCCATAGCTCCCAGACCCGTGTGGAGCAATTTGTCCATAAGGTGAGATGCAGGGAAGGCTTCGTATGGGATGTCAGGGTGCAAAGGTCCTTCGAGAATCACAGACAGAATAAAGCTGGGAGCATAAGTTTTTTCTTGGATGCCAGATTAGTAATTGTGGGAGTTGAAGTCCAAAATACCTGGAGGGAGGGTCAAAGTTGCCTGGCACAGATGCATCCAAGATTTTCTTTTCCATCGCTGAAAGCTTTGGTATTTGAATACAATTGTTTTTGAAGGGATTCTAAGCAGGCAGCCACTGCAATGTGCGCCTTTTTTGTCCAAATGACACAGAGTGCACTTTTGGCCGCTGCACATGACATTTGGCAGCAAATACTTTTTTGGATTTCAGAGTTTTGCAAATGGAGGTGAGGCTTAATATCTTATCACATTGGGACATAATCCGTTTATATCAGTATGCATGCCATATTTTTTTAGGACTGGGTGCATCCTATATTGAGGCGGGGTGCATAATCATACCTGATTATTATTACAATTCTTACAATTTGAAAGTACTGTGCTTTGACTCATTGCACCATGGAAAGCTGGCTCTTCCCAATCCATTCAAAACAACCCCTACATCACCTTTTAAAAAGTATAGTTTCTTATGAGATGTATACAGATTTGCCTATTACACACAAAAGCAGCGCATTAGCATTGGAAGAATTGTGTATTTCTGATCCCAAACTCTTTGTTGTTTCTAAGCCCTTAAGTTCCTTGCTTCTCCTCTCCTCCTCTGTGGCAGGATCTACGGCACTTCAGCTCCGTGAAAACGGGTCGCGGCCCCTTGCGGGAGGGGTGGCGGGAGCACACCACACCCATCATGTGCTCCTACAAGCTGGTGACCGTCAAGTTCGAGGTGTGGGGCCTCCAGACCCGTGTGGAGCAATTCGTCCATAAGGTGAGAGGCAGGGAAGGCCCACTGTTTGGGGATCAGGCCCAGAGCGTGGGAGCAATTGCCGGCAAGGCATTTGCATTGCGTATCAGCTAGAGGGAGGCCATAGTGCACAGGGGGCAAAGCTTGGGTTCTGCTGCTTCAGAGCAGTGGTTCCCAAACGTTTTTGGTCATGAAACCCTTCAAAGGAAATTATTTTCATAGAACCCTAACTCTACCTCTTATTTGTTTAGTCTGAAAATTGTAGGAATTTTAGAATTGGAAGAGACCCCTAAAGGCCATCCAAACCTATCCCTGGTGTGTTTTGTCTAAATATCATAGGAACTTCAGAGTTGGAAGGGACCCCAAAAGCCATCCAAACCGATCCCTGATGTGTCTAGTTGGAATATCGTAGGAACTTCATAGTTGGAAGGGACTCCCAAAGGCCATCCAAATCTATCCTTGATGTCTCTAGTCTGAATATCATAAGAACTTCAGAGTTGGAAGGGACCCCCAAAGGTCATCCAAACCTATCCCTGATTTGCTGTGAGTTTTCCGGGCTATATGGCCATGTCCCAAAAGCATTCTCTCCTGACAATTTCACCCACATCTATGGCAGGCCCCTCAACCTCTGAGGATGCCTGCCATAGATGTGGGCAAAATATCAGGAGTAAATGCTTCTGGAACAATGGTATACAGCCCAGAAAACTCACAGCAACCCAGTGATTCCAGCCATGAAAGCCTTCAACAACACACTATCCCTGATTTGTTTAGTTGGAATATCATAGGAACTTCAGAGTTGGAAGGTATCCCCAAAGGCCATTCAAACCTGCCCCTTTCTGCCATGCAGGAATCCACAATCCAAACCCTCTCCACAGATGACCATCCAGCCTCTGTTTACAAACTTCCAATTTTATTTAATGCTTAGACTATAGGTCTTTCGCATACCGAATGAACAAATAAGTAAGTACATATGAACCCAATTATAAAAAGCAAAACAGTGCAACACTAAAAATATTACATAAACGAGCATGGTTAGAAGCCAAGTCAAATTCAATATTATCACAGACTTAAACAAGAGAATTTTGAATATAAGCAAGCACACAATAGTTAGTTAAAAGCCTCTCCAGCACAGCCAACCTAGCACTCACAACTTGGGTGGGTAGATTAGCATTTTGTTTTTGTTTCAAATTTGCTTAATTTTATGCAGCAATGGAAAGTTCTTTACATTAAATCCAAATAAAAGTCCCTCCCATCTCTTAGTCTTCTAACTGGTGGGAGAGGAGTCTGAATGCTTTGCTGCCCCCCACTGGGCAGGACTGGAACTGCTCCTTTGCTAGTTATTTGGAGATTGGGCAAAGTTCTTCCAGGGGCAAGAAAATAAAATAAAAACTCCCCTTTCTACTTTAAGTTAAATTAGAAAAGTGTATAACTTCAAGAAGGGTGATACTATAGATATATTTATTTGTATAGGAAGATTTATTATGAATAGATCCTACGTGAATTGATCGATAATTAAAATAAATATTTACTAATGTATATTACTAATCTACTAACAAAAGCAATTAACTTTAAGATAAGTAGTTAGTTGACTGTCATTACGAGTACACATTAGTTGATGGATAAAATATAGAGAAGGAATATTATGCAAAGTTGGAAGAGAAGAGTAGAGAAGAAGGGATAATATAAGAAGATAAGATAAATCAACAAAGATACTGGAGGATAATCTATTCCTCTTGTTAGATAAGATGTCATCATTGGAACTTTTTTACTTTTATTTTACTTCCTTCCAATACTAAAGAATATGTATAAACAAAATGATACAAAATGATTTTATTGATCAATCAATTGGCCTTATCAAAATAGACAATATTTATATTTTTCCTCGGACTAGATGTATACTGTATGTTGTATACAGTATACATCTAGTCCAAGGAAAAATATAAATATACAAGTACAAAGAGAAAAAGTGGGAGTGGCCAACTTGTAACCAAATGTACCTTAATTTTAGGTATATACATCAGATGTCCTCATCCCCCAAACACCATACTGCCCCCCACCAAAGTGAAGGGGACAATTTCATCTGATATTTTATGTTTTTCCTCCACCACAGACATCCCAGTGCTTCTTACTCTCTCCGTTAATGTGGAATTTGCATGATCCCGCCCACTGCTTCTTCCTTAACCGTTCCTTACCTTTTCCTATGGCGCACAGCAAACAAAGGAATTGATCAGCAACTAAACATACTGAAGAAATTTGGGGGACTGACTCCACATGATGGAAGTTGTAGTTCACCCTACATCAAAAAAGAGTACTGTGACCCCCACCAACAATGGCCCTGGACCACATTTGGCATACAGAAACCCGATGGCCAACACAAAATACTGGCAAGGTCTTGGAGGAATTCATCTTGATTTATAGGAGTTTTAGGAACTAGGATTTATAGTTCACCTGCAATCAAAGAGCTCTCTAGATCCCACCAGTGATGGACTTAACTTGGTACACAGAACCACCATGACCAACTGAAAATACTGGAGGGAACTGACTTTCCTTTCTGAGAGTTGTAGTTCACCCATAACCAGAGAAACCGTGACCTCCACTGATGATGGACCTGGATCAAACTTGTCACACAGAAGCCCCATGACTAACTCAACCTACTGGAGGGGTTTGAGGAGACTGACTCACCATAGTGGGAGTTTTATTTTACCCTACAGCCAGAGAGCACACTGAACCCCACCAATGATGCATCTAGAGCAAACTTTTCTAACATAACAAACTTTAAGTACTGATGGAGTTTCTCGGGGTTAGCCTGGCATGATGTGAGTTGTAGTTCACCCACAACCTTATGCATTTTGTACAATTTAAAAAATGACTTTTTCAAATAACCCGGGCAACGGCAGGTACTCAAGTTAGTTTCAAATAAAAGGCCAAAATGTTGTTTCCTTTCTTTTTCGTACAAACTGCATTTGCACAATATATTGATCAGGTTTTCTACTTTGGGGGTGCCACAGATATAGAGTCTTTCATTGGGTGTCTCATTGAATCTACCATGTCTCTCCATAGACTCCATTTGTTCAGATTTGGCCCTTGTAAGAGCTATTCTTAAGTGTATTGGCATATCAACTTTTAAATAAAGTACCCACAGGAAACTTTGTTTAAAATGACTTAACCACTTCAAGGAGTGGCTCTATCCTTCTGCGCTTCAATATCTTCAATCTTTTGAGATACTATCATTTTCTCAACATCTCTATTATGACCTAAGGAAGAGATTTGCAATCCACAAGTACAGAGGAACCTTATTATTTGGTCTGGCCAGGAAGCTTGGGTTTGACCATTACTTTGTTCTGCCAAGCATAATTTTGGGAGTCTATCGTTTTCAGTTTTTTTTATTTTTGACCAATAATTGAAGACCTTGATTTTAGCAAGTCCTTCAATGGAGTATATTTCTAATTTCGCTCTGACAGCAGCAGCCGTGGTCCTTGTGTCTACCCCAAGCATGTCTTAGAAATTTTGATTGGATTTGTTCCATTATCGATATTTAGTTTAGACCCCAAATTTAGGCTCCAGATAATATCATAGGGACAATCTTTGCTTTGCACACTTTTAATATCAGGATTAATGACCCTGCGTACCTATGGGATAGTAGTCTTGTCAGAGTGTTTGAGCAGCCCTAGTTTTAATTGTGCATGAGTGAAAATGCACAGGACATGAACTTGACTCCAAGAAGACTACACCTAAGTATGTAAATGAGCTGACCTGTTCCATAACATCAGCATCTAGGAACCATTTATTCCTTTGTGGGCAATTTCCAAACACCATTATTTTTTATGTAGTTTTGTTTATTGTCAACTCGTTTTTGTGGGCAGAAACTTTTAATTTACTCAGTAATCTCCTTAATCCAATTTGTGTGTTTGACATCAGAACCATATCGTCCGCATATAAAAGTGTATTTACGTATCATTATGTATATACTCCCTCGCCCCTCTATGTCTTTGATGATACAACAGACTCAGGTGTAGAACTCTTTACATACTATAGTCTATGATGTTTCCTATCTTTCCTTTTTTCCCTTTTTTATTGTTCATTTGACTTTTTCCCACTTTTTTAAAAACCAAAGCTTATTTGCGTGAAAATAATTCCGCCTTTAACTAACTTCTTTGTTGCAGGTCATTCGGGACATCCTGCTGATCGGTCACCGACAAGCTTTTGCTTGGGTGGACGAATGGTGTGGTAAGTCAGCCTTCTGGCTTCATCCCAGTGGGGAAAACCCATAGGATGGACAATGAAACCCATTTCCGCCTTGGCCTCCCCATATCTCTCTGATCCCCTCCTGATTCTTCATTTCATTGGATCCCAGAATGTGAAGCTTTTATGTCATCTCTGTGGCCAACACCATGCTCTTCTATACTTTATAACAGGATGGGCCAACTTTGGCCCTCTAGGTGTTTTGGACTTCAACTCCCATAATTCCTAACAGCTTCTGGCCCTTTCCTTTTCCACTTAAGAAATTGATTATTTGCAGATGGAATTCTAATAGTTTTTTTTAAATGCTACAGATTTTTCCGATGCTGTAGCACTGCTTTGCTGAGTGATAGAAAACTCTGTATGCATCCCATCAGCAATGATACTTTTTAAGGACCTTATCACATTGGGATATAACCCCTTTATATCAGTATGCATCCCATTTTTTTTTTAGGACTGGATGCATACTGTATTGAGACGGGATGCATACTCTCCTTCCTCATCACACCCGATTGTTATTACGATTTTTATGATTTGAAAACACTGCGTTTTGACTCTTCACAACATAGAAGGCTGGTTCCTCCCAATCCATTCAAAATACCCATTACATCACTTTAAGGGCCTGATCACATTAGGAAATACTCAATTTCTGAGACTAAGAATGATTTCAAACAGGTCCCATGACACGACACTTTACCCATCTTGTCAGTATTCCGTCAGAATCTGTCTACAAAGCGTTGTAGAAATGGATGATTTGCAGACGGAATTCTAATTGTATTGTTTGGAATACTGTGGATCCTTCCGTTTTTGTGTGTGATAGGCAAATCTGTATGCATGCATCCCATCAGCAATTATATTTTTTAAAAGGTCCTAGAGTGTTTTGAATGGATTGGGAGGAGCCAGCCTTCCCTGGTGTGATGAGTCAAAGCGTAGTATTTTCAAATCATAAGAATCGTAATAATAATTGGTGTGATGAGGAGAGGATGCATCCCATCTCAGTACAGGATGCACTCAGTCCTAAAAAAAATATTGGATGCATGCTGATATAAACGGATTCTATCCCAATGTGATAGGGTCCAGAGAGAGCTTTCCCAGACATGGACCCATCTTGGAAGGGGAGCGTCCCACCCTTCACTGTTTTCATCCAGCCTGAATTCAACCACCAGCCCAGGCAGCTCACTGGCCGTCTTTGGATGGATGGCCACCCATTCCTTCCTTCGTTCCTGCCTCTCCTGCCTTTGCATCCTTCCTTAACCCAGAGCTCTGCGTGTTACAGACATGTCCCTGGAAGAGGTTCGTGCCTTCGAGACGCAGATGCACGTGGCCACAAACAAACACTTCAGCGGCCAGGAGCCTTAGCCCGCCCCACCTGCCCAGCCCTGCCCAGGACTCCTGTTTTGTATGTATGTTCTGGGTTGGGGTTTGGCTTTCCTTTCCTCTCCTGAAATTGCAAACCGCTGGTTTTGCCGTGCTTCTGCTCAACCTTCTCCTTCCTTTGGATGCAGCTGGGCTTTTTTGGCCTCCGTTGCAGAAGTGAAGATTTGAGATCCTTCCTTCCTTCCTTCCTTCCTTCCTTCCTTCCTTCCTTCCTTCCTTCCTTCCTTCCTTCCTTCCTTCTTTCTTTCTTTCTTTCCTTCCTGGACCTTGCAGGGCCAGGGCTCACCCTCTGCTCTGCTCTCCTCTGTATTCATATTCTAGCTAGAAGTAAGATACACAAAGTGTTCCTTACGATATCTCCGTAACTTATGTCTGTTGGAGGCAAGTGTGAATGTTACAATTGGCCATCTTAATTAGCACTGAATGGCCTTGCAGCTTCAAAGCCTGGCTGCTTCCTGCCTGGGGAGGTGTTGGCTGGCCCTGTTTTTTGAGGGTTGCTCTTTATTTACTGTCCTGATTTTAAAGGTTTTTAAAACTGGTAGCCAGATTTTGTTCATTTTCATGGTTTCCTCCTTTCTGTTGAAATTGTCCACTAATGGATTTCAATGGTTTCTCTGTGTAGTCTGACATGGTGTTTGTTAGAGTGGTCCAACATTTCTGTGTTCTCAAATAATATGCTGTGTCCAGGCTGGTTCATCGGGTGAACTTCAAAAAACAAAAAAACAGGGGAATTCCAGACAGGAAACAATAAGGGTCAGCTAACACCTCCCAACAAAGGATTCTCCCAGGCAAGAAGCAGCTCTCTACACAGCAACTGCTTCTCCAACATAGCAAATCAATCAAACTCCACTTTCTGGGATCTGTTTGGTTTTTAGTTTCTAATGTGTTTATGGATTTTTACTGAATTTTTAAAAATACTAATGATAATTATTTAATGTCTGTATATTTGTAGATTTTTAAATAGTATGGGAATGCTTTTAGTGTAAGCCATTTGAGTCTCCTGGTAAAGATAAAAAGCAGGGTATAAATAATAATAATTATAATACTGATAATAGAAACAGCTGCTTTGAGTCCCCTGGTGGAGAGAAAAAGTGGGGTATAAATACTACTAATATAATAATAATAATAATAATAATAATAATAATAATAGAAACATAGCTGCTTTGAGTCTCCTGGTGGAGAGAAAAAGTGGGGTATAAATACTAATAATACTACTACCACCACTACTACTACTACTAATAATAATAATAATAATAATAATAATAATTTAATTGTGTGGTTTTCTGGCATTGTATATTTCTGCTGCTTCTGTGAATGTTCATTTGTATTTTGATTCTGTAGCCCACTTTGAAATCCAGCATATAGATCTTGTTTGCTGTGACATACTGTGCTTTTGTGTCACAATAATAATAATAATAATAATAATAATAACAGAAGAAGAAACATAGCTGCGTTGAGACTCCTGGTGGAGAGAAAAAGTGGGGTATAAATACTAATAATAATATAATAATAATAATAGAAACTAGCTGCTTTGAGACTCCTTGTGGAGAGAAAAAGTGAGATATTAATACTACTACTACTAGTAATAATAATAATAATAATAATAATAATAATAATACATAGATACACAGCTGCTTTGAGTCTCCTTGTGGAGAGAAAAAGGCGGGATATAAATAAACATAATGATGATGATGATGATGAAGAAGAAGAAGATGAAGATAAAGACAGCACTTATTGGGACCGCACATTCAACAGAAATACCTCTAATATCTCAGGTCCTTGGGAAAAGCCCAACATTCAGAGACAAATCCCAGACACTTGGACCTAATGTGCATGTGTGCTGTGTTGTTATGTACATATAAACAAACAAACAAATACATAAAAATAATAATTGGACAAGTTGCTTTTGGGGATACTCTTGGTTCCAGAGTCTCCCAACCAGTATGGTTATTCTGAACCCCCTTCCACCTCATTTAAAGTTAATTCACTCAAGTTGTGGGTTTGCAAGGGAAGTATCTGAAGAACCCCTTCTTCTGACTTGTTCCCCCAGGGATGACAATGGACGAGGTGCGCCTGTACGAGCGGGAGACGCAGGAAGCCACCAATGAGATCGTGGGGCCAGTGGCACCCACCGTGGCCATTGCAGAGGTGGGGCTGCTCCCCTCCAGTGCCCCGTCCACACCCCTCGGCGGCGGCGAAGCACCGGACTTCCTCCTCAACATCCCCAAGGACAGGCCGAGGAAGAAGTCAGCTCCTGAGATGCTCTCGCTGCCAGTGCTGCGGGAGCGCGCCAATGCGGAGTGAGCACCCTCCTTCCTTCTGAGCACTAGTGTGACATGGCTCTTCATGCAGCTTTCGGAATAGTTTCTGATGCCCTTTTGGACCTCCTGGGGCAGGAAACAGTCCTCCCCCAGGTTTGCATCATTAAAAGGACCAAGAAAAGGGGTTTTCCCAAGCTGCCTGATTCCTGCCTGCCAGCTTCTGAGCCTTCCAGGACATTTGACCCCCTCACTGGGCTGCATTTGCAACAATGGCAGCTTTTGCCCAGAACTCCCCTCTCCGACCCACACTGGCTCAGAAAGGCCATGGGATAAATTCAAGCCAGCTGTTCAAGCCAACTTCGGCCCTCCTGTCTCCAGGTGTTTTGAACTCCAGTTCCCACAACTCCTAACAGCTGGAGGTGCCAAAGTTGGCCAACGCCTGGTTTAAGCAGACCAACATCTGCCTGTATATAGAGGTTCGTAACACAGGGCCACTGTATCTACAAATGCCACAGTCCCTTTTTCTGTTGTCTGTTGGGCTGTAAATTCACTGGGACCGATTTCATTTGGAAGAAACAATTTACTAAGACTGTTACACCCATTTTGAAGCTCTTGTTTTTCAACTGAATTAAGTCTGTAGAAGGGTTTCTTTTTGCTGGACACACACACATGGCTCTTTAGGAGTTACACTGCAACTCCCTTGATCCTTCACCTCTGGCTGCGTTAAACAGAGCTGATGAGAGTTGCAATCCAACAAAGCTAGAGGGCCAGTGGTCAGCACTGAGCAATGATTTTGACTCAGTGCTGACTACACTTGGCTGTTTCCAGGAAATACACCCTAAAGCAGGCATGGGCAAACTTTGGCCCTCCAGATGTTTTGGATTTCAACTCCCACAATTCCTAACAACCAGTTTGCCCATGCCTGCCCTAAAGCTTAGAATTTTTTTTCCTTTGGTGACGGTGTCACTCATCCATCACTGCCAATTTAAAGTATCCTCATCTAGAGGCACAGACCTGAAGTTACATCTCCAATGCGGTTTGGTCTGCACTGGAACAACAAATGCAAACAAATCCCAGCAAATTAATGCCATTGCCAATGAGGTCCCCAAAATGTCACCCTTTCTGAACAGGGCAGTGTTCCCTGTTCTGTGAATGTCTCTTGTCTATCCAGGATATATTATCAAGCTAGGCTGGAGAGAGACCTGGTATAAAGGGCAAGGCGCAGACCCACTTTTTACACCCACAAGCCCTCACTTTTTCACAAGTTGGTTGTATTTGATATCCAATAATTGAAGGAGGCCTGTTTCTAATTCTTGTGCCTGTAGAGATAACACTTTGAAAGTGCCTGCTTTAATACTATCGATAGTTGGGTCTCTAATGTTGGACTCTTCAGATTGGAATGGCAGTGGCTGCCTGACTTCCGGAGGGCCACGTATTACTATTGCAGCTTTGGAAATGCTGAAATAGGTAACAGTGGGATATTCAGAGGACCAGGATCGTTGCCTTGGACGGAACCGTGGCAAAAGCGGTGTGCATCAACCAGGCACAATCTATACTTGTCATAGCACAAGAGACAAGAGCACAATATGTGGCTGCAAAAAAGCAACATGGCTGGCCTTTTCCCCAACCTGCAGAGCTATTCTGGTGATCCTGCGAACCTCAATGGCTATTACACATATAGCTATAGACCAAACATGGTCTAACTTGGGCCCTCCCTCCAGGTGTTTTGGACTTCAACTCCCACAATTCCTAACAACCAGCCCAAAACAGCAGGAGAAAGGGCCCAAGTTGGACCATGCCTGGTATAGACCTTAATCACTGTTCCTATTCAATATAGTACAAGAGTGGGACTTGTAAGGATCTCTAGATTTTTCCCAATGGCAACCACTCTGTGCATTCCATCTCCAGCATTGGCTATGGTGGCCTACAGAGTAGCTGCAGAGCAATCGTACCTGAGTGAGATGGACCCATAGTTTGTCTTAATATAAGCATTCTGCATCTCTGAACATTTTAGGTGGATTAGAAATCAGCTGGTTTTCCTGTAATAGGTGGTAAGAGCGCCCAAAGCTTCGGAAAGCTTCTATTCAATCATTTCAAAGCTCCCTGCTTGAGCGGTGATGGCACAATCATCAGCATAGATGAAGCTCTCTGTCCTTTCTAGCAGTGGCTGTTCATTTGTGTAGATGATAAACATTGATGGAGCAAGCATGTTCCCCTGAGGCAGGCCGTTCTTCCTTTTTTGCCATCTATTTCTCTGACCCCGGGACTCAACAAAAAAGCTCCTGTTTTGTAGCAGATTTCCTATGAAACGGGTGAGGTGGTAGTCCTTTTTAATATTATACATTTTTCTCAGGAGGAGCCAATTATTTACAGTATCATAAGCTGCTGACAGGTCAGTGTCTATAATCTGCTGTCTTTCAAAACCATCTTCTATGTGCTGAGTCAGGTTCAGCACTTGTGATGTGCAGCTTTTCCCTTTCCTGAAACTAGAAAGCCTTGGTTGCTCAGTCAGTCTGAAGTAGCAACCAAGCTGCTAGTTAGGACTAGCCGGTGGATGAGAATCCTCAAGACTCCAAAGTCCAATCACTGAGTGAATGTGGCTCTTCTGGGCTCCAGGTCTGCTAACCCACCCGTCTTTCTGGGTATTTTGGCCCTATCGTCTTCCTCCGTGCCTTTGGAAAGAGGGCCATCCTACTTCTGCCCCAAGGGCCTTGCTGGATGCCATGGAAGGCCAGAGTGAACCCACTTGCTTGGCAGCCAGCTCAGTTGCCATCACAATTTGCCTTGCAGAAAATCAGAAATGCACCCCTGCCAGGAAAGGTGGGCTTCGTCCTAGACTCAGCCAGCTGCTTCTTTGGTCTCCTTAACGTGGTTTCTCTGACCCAGTTTGTACAAGCACAGTTTGGATTTGCACTGTTTTGTCATGCGAGGTGTTCCCTGCCCTCCTGCGCCTTTCAGTCAGCGCGATCCCCTGCTTCTCTTTACTATCAATTGGTTTTGTGCCTGGCTGCGACTCTCCTGCTCCTCGTTTGCGTCCTCGTGCACAGAAATTGCCGCACTCTGCCGGGGAGTCACGCCATTGAACCCAAGCAGAAGAAGCCAGGCTCTCCCATGCGGGGCAGAGCAGAGTTATGCGCTCAACCCAATGGCCGCTCTCCTTTGCAATTGCTTAGGCTTGTCAAAGTCAAGAGCATTTTGGAGTGTTGCCGACATGTCATGTGGCCCAATCTCCATTGGGACTCTTAAGAAGAGGGAAAGGCAGAGACAGATGGTGCCAAGAAAGAGCCTCAGGCGAAAAGATGTTTTAATGATCTGTTAGCACACTGTCCACACACTTATCTCTAGCTAAAGCTGCAAGGAACAAGGCCCTGAAGGTCACTTTCTGCCCAGGTGACAATGACAATGAATCATCTGGAAATTGTGCATTTCTTTTTGCATTTCAGTTTTCTTGGGTTTCAGAAGTGAACGAGAGCCAGTTCTGATCTAGCACGTGAGCCATTGGGTTACATATATTTCAAGGGAGGATGGAACTGGGCAGATGAGGGTCTGATGTAAATAATTTGGGATCTGTGTAGCGACAATGCTATATGTTTTGGTTGTTGTTTTTTTTTTAAAAAAAGAATAAAGGCAGTTGCTCCTTGGAAATATCATTGTGTTGTGTTCTGGGGTTGGCATGCTGCAGCCACGTGACGTGGCCAATGTTCTTCCTAATTTAGTCCTGCCCCATTCCACCATGCAAAATGGCACTACAAAAGCCCTCTCAACAGATGGCCACCCAGGCTGTGCTTGGAAACCTCCAGAGAACGAGACTCCACTACACTTCAAGGATAGTCTATATTGCTCTTTAGAGCTGGAAGGGGTATCCAAAGGCCATCCAATCCAACCTCATTCTGTCGTGCAAAAAGACACAACCGAAGCAAGCTTGACAGATGGCAATTCACCCTTTGCTTAGAAGCCTCCATAGGAGGAGGCTCCGCCACACTCCAAGGCAGATACCCAAAGGCCATCCAGTCCTGCCCCATTCCACCATTCAAAAGGACACCACCAAAGCCTCTCAGCCTCTGCTTAGAAACCTCATAGAAGGAGACTCCACCACATTCCAAGGCAGTCTAGAGAGCAATAGAGAGTTAGAAGGGGCACCCAAAGGCCATCCAGTCCCACCTCATTCCGCCATGCAAAATAACATCACCAAAGCCTCCCAGCCTCTGCTTAGAACCCTCCAGAGAAGGAAGTTCCACCACACTCCAAGGCAGTCTATATTACTTTATAGAGTTGGATGGGACACCCAAAGAACCTAGTTACTGCCACAGGTTCAAAGCATTCTGGAAAGTCTGAATCAGTGTCTAGATCTTTGCACCTAGCTCTTCCTCGCCGATCTCTCCTATGTCCGGTTCATCCAAAGGACCAGAAAGGCCATAGAACATAATATAATGGGAATTGCTGTAGACAGGGGGCTTGTTTGGGTTGGAATAGGCTTGCTCAGGTTTGAGGGAGGCGAAACGATTGGCCCCGTAGCCTGTGATCTGGGCTTCCAGCTCCACCAGGATCTTGAGGGAGTTCTTCATTTCCTGCTCACTGGGAAGGAGAAGCAAAGAAGGGTTAGGCCGCAGCCAAGGAAGCCCTAAATAATAATAATAATAATAATAATAATAATAATAATAATAATAAATAACTTTATATTCTGCTTTATCTCACTGGAGGGTCTCAGAGTGGATTGTAATACACATATGAGGCAAACATTCAATGCCTTTTACACACAGTGAACACAGACAAAGGTAAAGGCCTTCCTTTTTTTTCCATTTCTGGTGTCTGGAGGTGAATCTCAACTCCAGCCATGGGGAGGAGCACTTGTTCCATTTTTCCATGCTGAGGAGCCTGTTGTCCATACACATCTCTGACTGTTGCCATCATGTCTGCATGGGGCACCCTTTTACCTTCCCGCCCAGGTGGTACCTGTTGATATACTCGCATTGCATGCTTTCAAACTGCTAGGTTGGCAGAAGCTGGGGCTGACAGTCAGAGGCTCACTCCGACTTGCTGCTTCAAACTGCCAACCTTCTGGTCAGCAGATTTCCTGCAGCTAACGGTTTAACCCGCTGTGCTACCAACGGCCCCTGCAGGAAGAGGCCCTGAGTCCAGCTGCAGGCCACTCTGGGCAAAATCATTATTTTTAAATTGCACTTTGTTTGACAATCCCAGCATTTTCTTCTCTCGCTTTTGCTATTAGAACCACTGGGGTTTGAATACAGCAGGGATTTCTTCCAGGCCAGGACAAGAGGGAACAAATGCAGAAAAGACCAAGCAGTTTCCAAGCACAGCTGGCCCTCCACATTCACTCGCTTTTGTGGATTTGATTCATATGCTGCTCAGCCTCGGCCTGAGTTGCACTAAAGGACCTAGAGATTCCTAGTAGAAAAGTATTTCCACAGGTTAAAACTGGCAGTTTTCTTACTTTCATAGTGGTATTACACCCCTAACGTACAAATGTGAAGAAGGACCAACTGTAATAGAAATACAACAAGAACGCTGTTTCCAAGCCCTACCATGTTTGTTTGCCTTTAACAAAGGTTGGGGTGATGTAGTAACGATGATGCTTTTTGATGATGATGTTTTTTGTTAATGATGGATTGTGGATTTTTTATATTGTGTCTTGTATTTTGAACCTTGTTCTTTCTGTTGTACACCGCTGTGAGTCGCCCCTGGGCTGAGAACAGCGGTATATAAGCAAAGTAAGTAAATAAATAAATGATGGGAGCTCAACTAACTTTCATCTCAGCAACTATTGAAAGCCCAGCTGAGCTAGATGTGTCTCCCTCCTAGGGATCAAGCCTGGATCAGCACAAGAATTATCTTTTAGATGCATAGGTTTGTATCTATAATGGGTAAATTCTCATTTCATAAGAAAGGATTAGATAGCCAAGCAGCAAAGGATCCCTGCCCAAGACTTTGGAGAGCCAGTGCCGGTCCAGACAGGATGATGGGAGATGCTGGACTGCATCTCCCATCATCTTCGCCCCAACCTTACATCCAACCCACTGGTCAGAAGCCTCCAAAATGCTTCACCCCTTTTGTGTTTCTCAAGTCAGGGAAGTGAAAGGAATAGGCAGAAAAGGAACCTCATCCATTCCGGTTCAGGAATTGGACGACAGCTTTGGCCATCCAAACATGCAGAGGGCAGGAGTAAAAAGTGGCATTTTACCTGTACATAGTGAAGAGTGTGGGGATGTTGTAGTCCCGTAGAAGCAGCAAGGTAGGAAGCCAGCTTTCCATCAGGTCATGGCAAGAGTGGAACCCTAAGCATGGGAGAGGAAGCAGGAAAGTCAGAGCGCGTGCAATGCTTATGGATGCCCCTATGTCAAGAGTTCCTTCATTTGCAATAATGAAGAAGAAGAAGAAGAACAACAACAACAATAACAACAACAACAACAACATGTTATTGAAGGCTTTCATGGCTGGAATCACTGAGTTATTGTGAGTTTTTCGCGCTGCCTAGCCATGTTCCAACAGCATTCTCTCCTGGTATTTCGCCTTAATCTGTGGCTAATGGCATCTTCAGAGGTCTGTTGAAAACCCCACATGGAACAGGGGAATTCCAGACAGGAAACAATCAGAGCCAAATAATCACCTCCCAACAAATGATTCTCCAGGCAGTAAGAAGCCAGACCTTGAAACTGCTAGGCCATTCAGTGCTAATCAAGGTGGCCAATTACATTCACACTTGCCTCAAACAGACAAGAGTTCTTTCTCCCACCTTGAATATCATTCCGCAGGCATATAAACCCCATTTTCCTAGTTTCCAATAGACCTCACAACCTCTGAGGCAAAACGTCAGGATAGAATGCTTCTGGAGCATGGCCATACAACTCGGAAAACTCACAACAACCCAACAAATAAATTGTGGGTAGGACCTGGAGGTTAAATCACCTTCTATGCTGTGAGCTAGAGATGGGACTGAAGGCAAGAGAAGGGCACCACTGAACAATGCAACTTTCTGCCTGCCTATCTGAAGCCAGTGATGCGAGTCCAATGGCAAAAGGTTCATCAGGATATCATTCCTGGGGATGATGCCCACTGCCAGCTTAGCTTTCCATGCCTTGCAAGGCCAGGATGTTTTCCTGCCCACTTCTTTCCATGCCACTTGTTTCTTGCTCTCGGCAATGAACAGAATAGAGCTTGGAGCCTCCCGGGAGGAATCGCAAGGGCCTAGTTGTTTGCGCAGCTGTCGGAACAAGGATGCCAAAGTGATTTGTGCGTCATAGCAGGGAAACGTGGCTGGTGTGGCCTTTTCCAAAGATGACAACATTTGGAGGCAGCTCCATCCATGCAGCAGGAGGGGACTTTGGCTAGCAAAGCCCTTCTTGCCATTCCGCAAGATGGTCACGTATTTACAAGGGCATTTCACCACCCTGGTACTAATCACTTAAGACTGGGAGGAATGTTATAGAGCAGACAGATAGGACACAACCTGGCTCCCAACTTACTGTAAGCCTCCATGGATTTCGGGGTCCTGAAACAAAACCCCAGCAGGTACCAAGGGATCCCGTAATCCCCTTGCAAAGATATCTTAGTCAGTGGCCATGACAATAAATTTATTTAACTTATTAGCGAAAGCATTATTTGCAAAACCTTGGTTACATCAAGACAAAGGTGAGAAGAGTACAGCCTGAACACATATTGAGCTGTATTTTCCATCACCTCTGGCCAGTATAGGCAACAATGAGGAATCTGGGAACCACAGCTCCATCATATTGCCAGGTTAAAGGATTTCCATCCCTCCATGAAGTACCCAGGGTATGAGTTGGAGCCAGACTTAATCGTATTGCAAGACAATGCACTGAAATCACGTGGTTAAGGGGAGGAAACTTAGTTAAGCACCCAAAATTGCAACAACTATTCCTATTTTTGTATTTTTATCATATAAACACATTATATCATATAATTGGATAATCTTAAATTATGGAGTTTATACTTATATTTTATATGTATTTTAATCTGTATAATTTTGTTATATATGATATGTTTTATACTATATATTTTAATAATAATAATAATAATAATAATAATAATAATAATAACTTTATTTATATACTGCTCTATCTCCCTGGGGGGACTCAGGGCGGTTTCCAAACAACAACATCAAAACATACGGAGTCACTACATGAACAAAAAATAACAGTAACAGCAACATAAGCATGGAATTACCCAACTACACATCAATATTAAAAGAAAAAAATCCTGCCTGCTCTTTATGTCTATTTGTTAGGGCATGGAAAAGGCATGGGTCAGGACAATTAAAAAGGCTGGGTCAAGACTGATACAAATTGAAATAAGATGGGACCGGCATTTGGGTACAGTACTGTAATAAGTAAATAATATACTTTATTTATATTTCACCTTATCTCCACAAGGGGACTCAGGGTAGATTACAGTACACATATACAGCAAGCATTAAATGCTGTTATATAAATAACAAAGACAGACAGTACACAAACAGAGGTAAAGGCTTCCCACCTTTTTCCATCTCTGCTATCTGGAGGCTGTGCTCGACTCCGGCCACCGGGTGGGATGTGTGTGTGTGTGCTGTCACTCCATCTTCCATGCCGAGCAGCTTTGTTGTCCTTAGAAATTCTCCCAATCAAATCGTCGGCATGTCTGCATGGGTGCCTTTTATTACCTCCCTGCCAAAGTGGTACCTATTTATCTACTCACATCACTGTTCTCAAACTACTAGGTGAGCAGAAGCTGGGCTGACGGCGGGAGTTCATCCCAACCTGGGCTTGAACTGTTGACCTTTCGATTGGCAATATTTATGCAGCTGGTGGTTTAACCTGCTGTGCTGAAGCCCGGCCCATGTTTTATTTGATATTTTTGACTGTTTTAATTTTATTGTTTATGAATTTGTTTATTATGTTTGTACCGGCATTGAATGTTTGCCATACTATTTTAGAAGCCGCCCTGAGTCTCCTCGGGGGGGGGGGAGGGCTGGTTTTAAAAAAAGTATTATTAATATTATTACTACTACTACTATTACTATTTCAATTCAAACGTGATCCCTACGTTGGCACAAGTAGAAAGAGTGTGCATCTAATGCAGTTTAGCATCACTTTGGCTACCGTGGACCAATGGTAAGTAACCATGGGAGTTGCTCTTAAGCCTAAAACCCATTAATTCCCATAATGTCACCTTGACAATATTTCTCCTCTCTTTGTGATGAGGGATATACAGAACTTTTAATATCTTGAGGCATGTGTGTAATTGTAACTGATATGAAGACATGGTTGTATACATTTTAACCTTGTGCAATACTTGCCTCCTCCTTCTGCGCCACACTAAATTGTTGTAAAGACTTAATTAGCTAACACTATAACCCCATTATACCCACCTTTTTTATCTTTCTTCCTCTTTTTGTTGGGGGGGAAATTGGAAATGTTCAATAAAAACATGAAAAACTAACAACAGGGGAGCATGCTGTGTTGGATTGCGGTGGTGTCTGCTTCTCTGGTTGTTGTTTTTTTTAGGAAAGACAGGATGGCCATCTGTTGGGTGGGTTTGGATTGTGTCTTCCTGCATGGTGGAATGGGGTCAGACTGGATGTCCTTCTCTGGGGTCCTCTGCCAACTTTATGCAGATCCTACATTGCAATGAATCACATGCAGCAGTGCGCAAGACAACTGCCAGGACACCGGCTCCTTTCTGAGGCCAAGGCTTTAATGGCTTCCACACCTGCTTCAGACATAACCAGCTAGTAAGTCTGAGGCATGCTAATGAGCTGGTTATTCCTGTCAGTGTCGAAAAGATCTTGAGTGTTCACAGCGATGCACACTGACAGCAGCGAAAAACTGGCCTCCATCAATGAAACAGCAGCATACCCATGCAGTGTGTCTAGCAAACTAGAAGTCCATCATGTAAGACATCCCATTGAGATTTTCAAAATCCCCAAAGTTTTGCTTCCCAAATGCCACAAGCGATGGGCCCACTTTGATGACATTTCTCAGATAATTCCATAAAAAGCCTAAATTCCTTGTGGAAGGAGATCCCATCCATTGTGGTCTCTGGAGTTCCCCTAGTAATGAAGCAAAATATACATGATGTGCCATTGTCATGGATAAATATGATGTATGGGTTGAATGGAATTGTATGACAGGTGTATGATTAGGGTTTATACACAATTGTTTGAAAGGTGTATGGTTGGGCCGGGTTTTAGCACACCAGTTAAACCACCAGATGCAGAAAATCTTACCGATTGAAAGGTTAACAATTCAAGCCCAGACTGGGGTGAGCTCCCAACTGTCAGCCCAACTTCTGCTTATGTAGCAGTTCGAAAACAGCAATGTGAGTAGATAAATAGGTACCGCTTTGGTGGGGCACATGTGAATATGCCGGCAATTTGATTGGGAGAACATCTATGGACAACAAAGCTCCTCGACATGGAAGATGGAGCGGCAGCACCCCCCATGGCCTGAGTCAAACACAACCTCCATATGCCTGAGATGGAAAAAGATGGGAAGCTTTACCTCTGTTAATGTACTGTTTGTCTTTGTTAATTGTATAACAGCATTGATTGTTTGCCATATATGTGTACTGTGATCTGCCCTGAATCCCCTCAGGGAGATAGGATGGAATATAAATGTAGTATATTATCATATAGTCTAGAGATGCCGCCCTAAGATTGAAGCCTGGAAAACTACAAAAAGATGTGGATTGATGAACTGTAATTAAAAGTTTCTGAACTGTTGAGGACCAGAGACAAATTATTAACTCTGAGGTGAAAACAATGTTTACATTTCCAAAGACAATGACTCTTTTAAGTTAAGAAGAAAGCAAACAATGCTCCTTAAGAAGGAAAATTAGTTATCACTTAAGTCAACATCTGTCCAGAACCGATGGGAGCCAGCATGTTTTGACTGGAAAAACACCCGTCAGTTATTTACAAAGACAACTGGAACATAGGCAAGAAATATTGTTATATAAGAGACACTTTACAATCCAAAAATTGTGGCAGACCGGTCTTGCCCATCCACCACCCTTCTCCAAGAGACGAAGGAAATGGTGTATTCGCAGAATGGCAGATTTGCTAGGAACGTGATCTGGCCTACTTCAGGATCTCTTTTCCAGGAGAAGGAAGAAGAGATGGTAATGTATGCATGATATTGAGTGAATGTTTATATGTGTGTGAATGCTGAGTAAAATGTAATATCCCGTTTGTTTGTGTACCCAATATAGCTACAGAATCTGTGTGTCTATCTTCTTTCTCTGTATTGCTCTGTGGTGTACTCTGTCTCATTATGAACAA